GTGCGCTGCGCGTCTGTACCGATTTTTCATCTCAAGACCGGCAAAAGCTACGGGGCTGAAACTTTGAGGACTTAATCTACATTCACGTACGGGCCCCCAGACCGGCAAAAGCTACGGGGCTGAAACTTTGGGGACTTAATCTACATGCACGCACGGGTCCCTATGATCTCGAGACCGGCAAAAGCTACGGGGCTGAAACTTTGGGGTCTTAATCTACATGCACGTACGGGCCCCTATCTCCCAATGGGCGGTCTTTCCCGCGTGGTACCCACGTAAGACCCCGCCAAAGTTTTTTACGGGTAAGCTGCTTACTCGCGAATCAGAAAAGCTAGAGAGCTGAAATTTTAGAGGAATGTTCCCCGCCTAAGCAGGTGCTAATGAGCTCAAATCCAGCCCCCGGGTAAGCGTGGTACCCGCGCACGGCCCCCACCCCCAAAATTTTTCCCGCCTAATTTCGTAACTCGGGGTTCTGAGATGCTGGAAAGCTGAAATTTTAGGGGAATGTTCCCCGCCCAAGCAAGTGCTAACGAGCTCAAATCCAGCCCCCGAGTAAGCGTGGTATCCGCGTACTAGCCCCCCAAAATTTTTCCCGCGTAAATTCATAACTCGGGGTCTGAGATGCTAGAAGGCTGAAATTTTAGGTTCCCTGTCTAAGTGGGTATTAACGAGTTCAAACCCTGCCCGCGGGCAAGCGTGGTACCTACGTACAGGCCCGTGAAAAATTCCTTCCGGTAAGTTACTTACTCGACAACGTGAGAAGCTAGAAGAATGGAATTTTGAGGGGATGTTTCGAGACAGTTCTGGCGGCTGGTCTCAAATTCTTTCTACTAGAAGCATCTGCCGAAAAAACCGATGCCGGTAGCGACAAAAACTGCGGAGAACTGAAATTCTTTCAGCTAGAAGCATCTGCCGAAAAAACCGATGCCGGTAGCGACAAAAACCTGCGGGAAAGCGACAAAAACTGCGGGGAGCTCTGCAAAAAACGCATCTAGAAGACTGAAATTTTGAGGGGATATTTCCTGACAGTTCTGGCGGCCAGTCTGAAATTCTTTCAGTATATTTGGCTGAAAAAACCGATGCCGGTAGCGACAAAAACTGCGGGGAACTCTGCAAAAAACGCATTTTCGCACGGACAGCCCGTGCGTTGGCCAATTATTTTTTTTTAATATGTTAGATTTATTAATGTATGTTAGATTTCTTTGTATGTTAGATTTGCCTTGTGAATGATGTCGAAGTGCTGCGGGTTTTTGAATCCCCAGGCCAACTCTTCGATTCTACGGTGTCCGACTCGTAAAAAGGGGTGCTGTGGTTCGTCGAGAATGCGATCTAAGATATCCAATGATTTCACAGAAGTTCCATCCCTTTCCGCCTTCTTATTTGTGGAATGTACTTTTTATTGATGCTCTGAGCGGAGAGGCGTCATTGAGGGAGTGTCCC